TTCAAATCCACCAGCCACTCCTTGGAAACCCTATGGGGCAGTTCTACTCTGTCTTGTAGGGTCACTATGAGTTGGAATTGACTCGACGGCAATGGGTTTGGTTTGGTTTAGCTGCATATGGTTATTAAGCACTGGCAATGGAGCTATTCCAATTTGAGATGCGCTGTAAGTGTAAAATACACACTGGATCTTGAAGACTTGGCATGAAAAAAAACTTGTAAAATGTCTCATTAATAATTTTTTATCTCAATTGCATGATGAAATGATAATATTTTGGATTTATCAAGTTAAATAAAATGTATTATTTTAATTAATTTATCTTGTTTTTCTATTTATTTTAATGTGGCTACTAGAAAATGTTAAATTCTGTGTTTGGCTCGGGTTATATTTCTGTTGGACATGTAGGGGTCTCAAAAGATAGCTTACTGCATCCCCTTTAAGACTGTCTGGGGCCCAACTCCCTCCAACACTACATCAGCACCTCCTTTCTTTCTTTTTTCAAATTCTCCCTGGCTTAATATTCCCTCTCCTTTCCTGGAGGGACTTAGGGAGCAGCAGAGCTAGGAGCACGTGTTGTAATTACACTGGTTCTGGACATACTGGGTTGAAGAGGGATTCAAGGCTAGAAATCAGGGTGATGTGGTGCCCCAACTCAGCTCCACGCTTTGTAGGTTCTGTCAGCAGCCACGATTGTCGCCAAGCACACATCAGCCTTGTGCAATGCCTGCCGCATTGCCTCATCTAAGACAGCCAACCCAGTGGCCAAGAGACACTTTGTCCAGTCAGCCAAGGAAGTTGCCAACAGCACTGCCAACCTGGTGAAGACCATAAAGGTAGGTCAGTGAACTGTGGGCCTTACTAATTCCTGCTTCGTCTTGCAGAGAAGAAAGAAGTATGGGAGGCAAGCTTTGCTCTCCTGAGACTTATTTCTAATTCAGTCTCATGACTTATGTCATTGTGAAGAGTCTCTTACTAGTGGAGAAATTTATCATGAAAAACCAAGAGCCTTGTTCTGCTAACCTTCTGGAGGGTGGAGGGGGCTCCCCAGTTTCTGTATGTGAGGAGCTTAGGAGCAGAAATCTGGTTGGAAGGATTTGGCTGTGGGATGTCTCTTTGTACTCTGGATAGTAAACACGCTGTTTTTACTTGAGCTGTATATTTACTTGGGGTGGTTTTGACTGGGCAGGTAGATGGCTCTGCAGTTGTTCTCAGGAGTATCTGGATCAAGAGGGTGAATGGAGAGAGAAGGGAATTGGGGATGCTGGGAAAATCACTTTTAATGTAAAAACCTATCAGTTTAATCTCTGTGACATGTATTCTCTTTACGCATGTTTAAATTTTAATTTAAAAAATGGAGCGTCAACTTTTAAAAACAGAACATTCCGTGTTTATAGCCAGTTAATCTTTGTATAAAGACCACAGGTAGGTGCGGGTGGTCGGGAGCTTTATAGAAAAAGACAGGTGCTTAGGGGTATGGAGAAAGCTGTTAACAGTGAAGAGACCAACTTTGTCCACCAAGAATCAACCTGGATATTCACGGTTGACATCCCATGAATGTTTTGAAGTTTTTATTATGGAAAATTTTCGAACATAGACAGAATAGGAGAAACAAAACCTGTGTACGCACCCTTCAGCCGGCTGCAGCAATGATCAGCTCCTGGTCTATCTTGTGTCACCTCTCCACGGACCCTTTCCCTTTTCTGGTTTCTTTGAAGCAAGTCTTCAACATCATTTTATCCATAAATATTGCAGTATATATGTCTATGCGATAAAGTGAAAAATCATATCACCACAATACTGTTATCACACTTTAAACAAAGTTAACAAGAGTTCCTTAATGTCATCCAGTGTCCAGTCAGCATTCCCATTTCCCCAGTTGTCTCTTTTGCTCCTTCTTCCTCCTTCTCTTACCTTTCCTTCTCCACTGATAATTCAAGCCTCTTTTCTTTCTAAATATCTTTGTTGCATATGTGACATATTTTCTTTTCTTTAATGTATAGTCTTTCCCCTCCATTTATTTATTTTTACCTTATAAATTATTTGTTGAAGAATCAGGGCTGTCTCTCAAATAGAATTAGTCAGATTTGCTGACTATGGGTAGACCAGGTGGTCAAAGACCTAGACGAAAGATATTTTAATGTCCTTGGGTATTTGTATTTCTTTTAATCTTATCTTAAATTTCAAATCATCCATTTTATTCTAGTAATTCACTATCCTAGGAAATTATAGAATTTTGAGTAGGAAGGGTCTAGGGAAGTATCGTGGCTCCAGGCCATCCTTGGAGAGTGGGGTACACTTGTGAGAATGGGGACAGGAGAGATTCGGTACAGTGGGGCTATGAAACTGTAGAGGGGTGATGAAACCACAGGCACAGTCTGCCCTAAGCTGGAGCCAGGCAGGCAGCAGGCAGCTGACCTTGTGGGAGCACAGCCACAGCTGGACAGCAGACCACAGACAGAGAACCCAGCACCCCCACTGTGGAGCATTGTCACGGAAGACAATGTAACGGTTCTGTGTGAGCTGTTTTCCGTTTGTTTGTACACTTTTTATTTTCCTGATACACAGAAGGGAAAGACATTGGAGGTCTTAACTCTTTCTTTAAGGGTTTTCATATTTTTTTTAGGTAGGAGTATCTATTTTGTGGAAGCAGCCGCAGTGGCACGGTACTTAAGTGCTCAGCTGCTAACTGAGAGGTCAGCGGTTCAACTCAGCAACCACTCTCTGGGAGGTAGATGTGGCAGTCTGCTTCCGTAAAGATTACAGCCTTGGAAACCCTAGGGGCAGTTCTGCCCTGTCCTGTTGGGTCACTGTGAGTTGGAATCAACTCGATGGCAGTGGGTTTGGTGGTTTGCATCTGCTTTGTGGAATCCCTGGGTAGTGCAAACCATTGATTGGCTTGGCTGCTAACCGAAGTTTGGAGCTTCAAGTCTACCTATCCAGAGGCACCTTGGACGAAAGGCCTGGTGATCTACTTCTGGAAAATCAGCCATTGAAAACGCTATGGAGCACAGTTCTGCTCAGACACACGTGGGGCTGCCAGGAGTTGGAACTGGCTCAAGGGCAACTCTTTTTTATCTGCTTTGTTGTTGGGGTTGGAGCCCTGGTGGCACAGTGGTTAAGTGCTCAGCTGCTAACCAAAAGGTCGACAGTTCAAATCCACTAGCAGCTCCTTGGAAACCCTATGGGGCAGTTCTACTCTGTCCTATAGGGTCACTATGAGTCGGAATTGACTCAACGGCAGTGGTTTTGGTTTTTGTTGTTGGGACAAGTCCTGAGCAATGGGATTTTCCCAGCTCTTTCCAGAGGACATGACACTACATACCTCTTTTCTTTTCACTATCAAAAGCCAGTATAATCACGGAGAAGTCAGTCAACAGGACACACCAAGCAGCCGCAGAGGAGAGGACATCCCGCCCCGCAGCAGCTGAAAGCTGGCTGACGAGAGCATGGGCCAGTGCCCTCACTCAGGGGTTCCTTAGCTGTTTAAACAAAGAGTCTTAAAAAAAATAAGACAACTTTTAGCCGCCCTTTTGAAGCTAGGTTGAAGTTGAATAAATAAGGCCCGTGCCAGGTGGGCCTGTGATCCTGATGGCAGCTGCCACCATGGTTCGTGGTATTAGAAATTAATAACACTTACGTTCTTCAGTGTTTATGGTATGCAGTGCCCTGTTCCAAGCACTTTGTGCATACTAACTTATTTAATCCTTGCAGCCACGCTATGGCTATCGTCCCCATTTAGATTCAGGAAACTGAGGCACAAAGAGGTTAAGGAATTTTCCCCCAGTGAGCCAGCCGGTAATTGGTAGGCCAAGATTCAAACTTAGGCCCAGAGCCCCTGCTCTTGCCGCTGTCAGTCCTGCTTCCGTCTCCTGGCGTGCTGTTCAGATGTTTGCCATGGCGAGACCATCAGCCTCCCAGTTTCTCAGCCTGAGACAAATACTTGATGTGTTCACAGTGCTTTTGTGTACATCTTGGGGTGGCAGGGATGGAAGAAGGCCATATAGGAGAAAGTAGAGACATCATTGTGGGTTGTTGTATCATTAATTTATACCAGTTAAATGTATAATTTCCTAGTCTCGATTAAAGGCGGCCATTTTCTGATCATTAAAAACCAGATTATGTTTAGATGGATTAAGGGGAAAAAATGGAAAGAAACGCTGTATTCTGAAAAAAAAATCTCCGGAAGCCCCTTTCTTTTCTGCCTCCTCCTTGGTTTTATATTCTGACCCATCTGTTAAGACTCCCCGTCTTTTCCGATTCTGCTCACGGTGTCAAAGCCTCTTTGCAGTTCCCTGCAGCGAATGAGCTGATGGCCTGAGAGACAGGCCTGTGCTGAACATCAGAGGAGTGCAGGGCCGGTATAGCGCAGGGAAGATGAGGGCTCCGCCTCTCTGAACATGCCGGAGATCAGAAGCAATGCAGGAGGGACAGAAAGGAACACGTTGCCCCTCAGTTGTCAAAATATGCTAGGTTTTCCAATTCCCAGAGTGTGGCAGGGTTCGCCGGCAGCTATGAGCTTTGCTTTTAATTTACTAATAGGAAAATGGAAAAGGTCGTTCCACTGCAGCATATCATATATGTATATATACAGAATAGATTTCCTATCTGAAGGGATAGTTAAGACTCCTGTCAAAGAGAGAAACAAATGAATATTTAATTCACTAAATACTTCAGACAGCTGCCCTTGGAGCTGCATTTTTTCTCTAAGTTTTATGCTTTTTGGTGCCTTTTTTTTTTTTTTTTTTTTTTTAAATCCATGAGGATGTGCCCACATCTGAATCCCAGCTGGCACACTCCTGAAGTCGTGAAACAGGGAGGCAAGCCCAGCTGGAGGAGCATGAGGGAAGGAGCAGGAGGAAGATTCCCTCATGGTGGGGTATCACTGGAGTCCCTGGTGGTACAGACGGTTACCTGCATTCGGCTACTAACTGAAAGATTGGAGGTTCAAGTCCACCCAGAGACACCTCAGAAGAAAGGCCTGGCGATCTGCTTCCGAAAAATCAGCCGTTGAAAACCTTCTGGAGCACTCTGACACATGTGGGTTCGCCGTGAGTCGGAGTCACCTTGACAGCAATTGATTGATTGTTGATTGAGTTCTCAGCACTCATGTAGAATGCATGACCCCAGGAATTTTAAATATCTTCTGATCGCTTTCTTTTAAAATCCCAAAACAGGGCTCAGCAACAATGAATACCTGTGCCCCTGCTCTATGCCCATGTTCCATGCCAGGCACTGCTCTAAATGCCGGCGAGGTAGAAGCACCCACGCCCTCACCGGGCTGCCATCTCTCTGCTGGTCACCGTGGACTCAGCTGCCTGCTTTTCTCTTCTGTCAGCTCGTTACCAAGTCTCAAGGCTGCCATCTCTCTGCTGGTCACCGTGGACTCAGCTGCCTGCTTTTCTCTTCTGTCAGCTCGTTACCAAGTCTCAAGTCAGACGTGTGGGATGGAATGCTGTTTCAACTGTGCAGACGCACAGGTTTGGGTGCCAAGTAGAAATTGTGCAACAACAGCATTTGTTTTTCTGAGAAGTTGGACATGGCTCTGCCGCTCACAGTGGAGTTGAAACTCAGTGTTTTGCAATTTAGCACTTCAGTGTGTTCCAGGACACCCAGACTGGCTCTGTGTGATCACATCGCACTTGGCTGTAAGCTGACTTCCTTGGTCATCCTTATGTTTGCGTTGGTAAAGTAGATTTCTTCAAAAGAAAAAGAAGGAAAAAAAATCTTCAGTTTCTGCTGTCCCTTATTCTTGTTGCCTCTGTCTAAGGATCCAGAGAAGGGATATAGGAGTCTTGGGTTCTGGTTTAAGGTGTGCCAATAAGGTGTGACCTTG